GAATCAATTCGAATGCGAACTGTAACTCTAACTCATTCAATTCGGGTTTCATACCCCGAATGTTGTGCGAGTGAGACCTACACTGTCGCACTCACTCATTCATTAATTTTCGTCTCAGCATTCTATCCCATTTTGCATTTGAATGTCGTTTTTTAGCTATTCATGCAGACCTCTATTGTCCATTTGAATTTTACAGTTTTCCTACATAATCTTGTTATGTGACGGGAGTATTCTGCAAAATTCTTTATGAAACGTCTGTAATAATTGCAAAATGCGATGAATCTTCTATCGCTGTCCGCATCATGTGGGACTGTTGAATGTTCGTGCAGAACTTGGTCCAGGCATTCCTTTTTGCCCTACGCAGTTCTTTGTTGTACTGCCTGAGGTTCGCTTTGTACGCCTCCCAGGCTGTCTCCGTGTTGCCTTACTGGCGATATTAAAGGCTTTGCGGACCCTGATCTTAAAGGGCGCAAGTGTTTGCGACCACCATGGTGGTTTCTTAACTTGCTACTGCCCGATCTGCTTTTGGGACAAGCTTTATTGAATGCCCTGGCGCACGCCGCCGTTAGCGTGTCCACCATGGTATCCAGGTCTTCCCTGCTGTCAACGTCCCTTGTTGGAGGTTTCTCCATGGATCTTTCTAAATTTTCTTGTATAGCTCCAAGTTCGCTTTTCTCGGGTTGCATACTGCTAGTCCGTTGAAATTTTCGAAATTCTCGAATTTGAATCGAATTGACCGAATTGACCATCGATACATAATTCTATGTGTCGATGGTCCGAGAAAGACTCTAGGACTCCCCATCTAACAATCCTATAAGCTAGGGATTCAGAGTAAAGAGGGCTGTCAAATATTTCACTACTGTTCTTGACTATGAACGTGGGTTCTGTACCCATATTACCCACCAGAAGATTGGAGCCTAGGATAAAATCGAAGATTGACTCACCCCTCTCGTTCTTGTCAGTGCTTCCCCACTGATGATGATGGGCATTGGCATCATGATGGGCTATGATCAGGTCGATCTTATGCTTCCCGCTGTCTTCCACAAGCTGTATGAGTAGCGGTTGCGGGGGGAAGGCTTCCTGGTCATGGCGCATATGCGAGCCCTCTAAATGCCCTTGCCAAGTCGCTTTCCTCTGAGGTGTACTCTTTCAGGATGTCTTCCTCCTCATCCGACATTCCTTCCGGGTGCCCCCCTTCGATCGGCTCCTCCAAGTCTGTCTCTTTGCATCACATTTATAAATACTTAATCCGGTGCTCCGACCTTTCCAGGGCTTTCACAGTCTCCTCGTTAAGCAAGAGGACGATCTGCCTCAGCAGTCCTATCGCCTCCTCGACCTTGGCGACTCTCCAGTCCGCCGTGGGAGGCGTCGGATTGCCATCCTAAGCATCGTCAGGATAGTTTTAGAGTCGGCTGGCTTTGCGGTGAGCCACACTCGCGCCCTCGGTTTGCTTGGGATCTCTTCCCAGTCAACCGCCACCAGCTTTGTCCCGGGGTAGATCTCTCCAAGCGATGCTACCATTCGCTTGTAGGTTTCTACTGATCGCGTGTCTTGGCAGGCAATTACCTTGACTATAAATCTATAAGTTAAGCGCCAATTTATAATTTCACTGTAAATAATAATATAGTAATAAAATATATTTGTTTGTTACATCGTCCAAAATATGGAGGTGTTTTTTTCTAAAAGATGGAATTATGCGTAAGTTTCGAGTGCCCCAATCTTAGTTATTGCAATTTCAATTTTCATTATATTGAAATATGAATGAAATTTTGAGGACTAATGGTGTAATTTTTAAGCGAGGTCTTATCTTGCTTGACAATCCTGTAGGGCTTTGAATCTTATTGAGTCTTATTAAATATTTTTATGCGATGTGATCTAAATATTTGTTTGATAAAATTTCAAGAATAATTGATAATTATAATTATATTTGGACTTCTAAAGTATCGGAGGGTTTTTGTTTTTTCTTGATTATATCTTGGATTTGGGAAGATTAAAAGCTTAGTTTATTAAGTTTTTTTTTTTTTTTGAACCGTTGCTATTATTTCTTGAAAATATTATTGCTATTATTTCTTGAATAAATGAAAAAGGTTCTCAAAACCTTTTTTTGTGCGCGTTGTATGATGTCTATGTTGCTGCTGCTCGCGTTCCCCCACAGGTGGGAGCCATACGTCTAGATTGGCTTTTGCATTAAATTGTATAGTAGTAACTTGTAGTCCAGGCACAGTGGCGATCGTAAACGTTATATGTTTACACTTTTGTTCGTTTATTTTAATGGGCCAGTCGGACAGCCACCTTTCCACTACTTAAAGACGATTAGCCAGTTGGATTGTTGTTTGCGGTTGGGCATCTGGAGCGACTAAGGATAGCGGTATCGTCGGCGAACGTTGACGTTGTTAGTTGTGCGCTCGTAGGAATATCCGCAGTATACAAAACATATAGACACGGGCCGAGTGCGCTTCCCTGTGATACTCCAGCTTCAATAATGTAGTCGCCCGAAGTAGCTGCGTTGCATCCTACTGAGAATACCCTATTGTAGTGGTATGACTCCAGTAGCTTGTGGGTGTATGTTGGCAAATACGTTTTAATTTTGTGCATGAACCAAACTCGGTCGAAAGCTTCAGATACGTCGAGAAAATTATTAAGGTTAAGTAAATATTGTAAAGATGATTGTTGGGATGGGCCATTGGACTTTGCTTATTATTTATTGCCTTTGGATTTGGATATCTGGCTAATCAGCCTGTATATACAATATAATTTATTTATTTATTATTATTAACAATGATCTGTTATTCTAGATTACAATAATTCAAAGTAAAAATAAATTAAACTCAAACAGATTTCAAATTTTAGATTTAATTAAATTTGGCGATAATTCAAGGATTCTGAATGGAAAAATGAGTAGTAATTTTGTACATTTAACACGAAATGGAACATGTTTTCCGTTAAAACGGAAAAATGTAGTTAGTCTATTAGGATCTGAAAACATGAATTTTTTTCAGAAGTCATTTTGAGTCCACCTGCCCAAGAATAAGCATATGAAGTTGCATATCCCTAGCAAAGGTACGGTGTAGAGGAGGTAGGTTTAAAGATACGACAGAAGGCAAGTGACAGTATTCCATTTTAATTATTTAATAATATTATTTATTATATTATAATTATTTAATGCTTTTGCACGGATTCAATACTCATTTGGTGAACAAAGAACTGCGGACTCCAAACGCATGAATATTCCAAGATAGGGTGAACCAAAGAGCCATATAGAGTGTTAGTTGTGAAAAGATTATCAAATTCTTTTGACCAACGTTTAATAAAAGCTAGCATACCCCTGTCTTTATTAACTTTCAATGATGCCAGTTTATTAAGCGACAGCTTATTGTAAAATTGTAATTAGAAAAAAACGATCTAGAGCACACTGGGATTGAACGTCATAACCTTACACTTCAAGAAGTTAAAAAAAAGGAGATTTTTTGAAAACCACAAGAAGACTTCATTAAGGTCTAATTGAAAGTTTCTTTGAAGGAGTTGGTCTGAGAAAGAAAAACATAACTTGACATCATCAGCACACATAAAAACAGGCAATCGAATGGTTTACTAAAATCAGTGTACTACATCAGTGTTCATCCAGCTCAGAAATCCCCTATGGATGCTTGAAGTAAATTCAAGAAGATTGGTTGTAGTAGAGCGATGCTTGACGAAACCATACTGTGAAGAGGAAATGATGCTTTTACAAAAATTTTGCCGTTGGGCAGTAACCAATTTCTCCAGCAGTTTTGAAATTGCAGATAGCTTAGTAATTCCGCGGTAGTTTTCAATTGTTTTTGAGCCTTACTTATGAAGCGGAATAATAAATGATACATTCTATTTCTTGGGAAGACTTGCAAGCTCCAAGGACATCTGAGCAATGCCTTAGAATACAGCTAGGGACATTATCAGGACCAGCAGAGAATGAGATATCTATTATTGCGAGAGCTTTGAACACATCATGATATTGAAATTTTGATAAATAAATGTGGTTTGTATGTGGTAATTTATAGGGATAAGAACAATTGAGGTTATATGAATCGGAAAAAAAAGTTTTTAAGAACAAATGACGCAAAAAGATTAGCAACACCTAGCTCAGAAAAATATGAAATATTTGTATATGATAGGAAAGGAGAAAAAAGATTTGATTCACGTTTCATATTGCCGAAAGAAAAGAAAGAGGTCGGATCATAATATAACGCTTGTACAGTTACAGCTGATTGTTGAGAATGATAAACTGGTTACAAAAATGTTAAAAGTTTAAATGATAAAAGAAGGATCCTGACTGAAGAAATTTTTTGAAAGATCTCGATTTCTTGTTCTTAAAACGAGAAAGGTGTTTTTTTAATTCAAGCTAGTTTTGTTGACAATGGCTTCAGGCACAAATTTATTGAACGCATTATGAATAATTTTGTAGCATCTTCAATTGAGTTTAAAGATCACAGAAATTTCCACTCGAATGGATGATGCTGGCTTTAAGGTTCAACAACCCTCCGAATGTTTTAAGAAAACGGATTTTAATGCCCTTCGCAATCATTTGACAAATGGATAATGAATGAATTAGAGGTAAGAAACAAGTAGGACTATTTTAAAAGGAGTAAAAGAACGCTTACGTTTAAAGTTAAACTTTTATTAGGACTTTCAAGTTCATTAAAGAAACTTTCCTAATGAATCCTCAGCGTAAGCCCAAAAGATCTAACTTCAGGCGCCACACCAGTCAAAGGCCTTGGAGATAGCACAGCAGGAGAGATTTTGTTGAAAAATGTAGTTAAAGCGCAACAGAAATAACTATAAACGATTAATTGTTTATATAAGAAATAAATGGTTAAATAAACTTATTGAGTGAATTATATTTTGAGAATTAATTGTTGTATTTCTTTAAGATCGAAGAGCGCGATCAAAGCAACACGTCCGGATAATGCAAAGTAAGGCAACTATTGAAAATAAAATATACAATTGGGTATAAAAACAAAAATCACATATCCGTTTCAAATTTTTTCATTGTCAACGTTCATTGTTCATACATATAATTCGTATACATAAAAAAATATTTATGAAGCGAGTGCATGTGGATAATTACACTCCCAAGTACTACAGCGGTAAGTGGTCTTGGGATGCAAATAAAGACAGGCTCCATTTTGAACCTCATAGTGATCTTGAGGATGCACGTGAGCGCTACATAATTACCAATGGCTATAAGTTTCTACGAACCATAAACCAGGAAGAAGAGCTGATCTTTCGACAGGCGTATGTAAGAGACGACAGCACCTATGACTGCGACACAGTAGTTATCAATGACATTCGTGACCTGGTTCTTTTCCTTATGCCTAGTGAATTTCTTACCCACCGGTTTGTGGAGTTCATGCACCGTCCAGCAGTTCACAGATTGATACATGCTCTAATAATATATTTTGAATACTTTCTTCGCCTTGTGGAGTTTGTCCTTATTCGAAGGGACGAATTAGCTGGACAAATTCAGAGTCAGCAGACCATTGAAATGAAAAAGACATTTTCGATATATTTAAGCCAGTACAGAATTTTGGTCGCTCGCAACTATAGTGTTATTTTAAAGGGAGAAGGAGATATGGCCGAATATTATCACTTAAAAGAAATTGTAAACATTTCAGATACAGATAGGGACAAAATTTTCCATGAACAATTTCTGGCTGTAACTACCCAAATGGTTTGGATATGTATGCATCGCCGGGCCTACAATGTTATTGAAATGGAAATGAATCGGCTTTTTCGTTCTGATCACTTTATTATGACAAGACCAGAATACTTGCGATTTACTCGGGCAGAAAGAAGTTTACTTTATGGCGGTAATAACAAGATTGTTAACTACCGTACTCAGGTGTCTCCACTTATTCAAGAACTAGAGCATGTACCCGATGCGGATATGCCTATATTGTGGATAGGGGAAAGAAAATACCGTGGAACTGATCTAAGAATAGCCGAAATGGAACTTGAGTATATTGTACCCGGTCCTCAGCTACGTATGATTGATATAGCTCATGGTATATTAGGGCACCCAAAGCGACTTTACAACACCATTCTTGACTTGGACTGGCCAACCGTTCGCTATTCCAACTTTTCCATTCAATATGATCCTTATCACATAGTCAGGCAGCCTCATTTAGATATCCCAAAAATCGATGCTGGTAAGATGAGGAAAATGAACGAGCACTATGAGCACTTTTACAAGGTATATCGAATCTATGAGCCCCACAGCATACAGATCCTAAAAAAGTGGCTAAAGAGGGACAAACTTATTCAGTTTTATCGCTCTGGAGGACTACTCCTTACTAATATTTTTTCACGGTGTGAGACAGAGCTCTCTAATTCAACGTCAAGTCCCAAGATTGACCAAATCATCTCCAGCTACTTCAAAGTCAAATCACGTCTGCGAAAAGGGTCGCCATATGCAGAGGACAACGTCAGCATTACGACTTCAAGAATAGGGGGCGTCTCTTCACCACGCCAAAAAAGGAATCCCACGGACTACTTCTTCGATTAATAAGTTATAAATTATAGTTGAATTTACAATAAGAATAACGAATAAGCGCGAATAAAGCACGTATTTGGGATATACATAAACGAAATTTTAAGCACAAGTTTATAAAACAAGAAGGGATACTATAGCTATTTTATCCGGTACTCATCTATTTAAACTACACTTTAACAAACCTTTAATGTTTAAAAGCATCGATTCTCAGCAAAACATTTTTGCTGCATACTCTTGCGCTTAAGAAAAAAACCAAAGCCCCCTACGTCACTAATACTCATTTATTAGAAAAAAAAAATGTCCCAAGCTTCTATCTTCAAAGATACCACAGTTCTTATTATTACCAAATACTATACGAGGTGTGTTCAAAGAGTAAGGTGTCTTTTCAAATTTCGCGGGTAACATATTTTCGATTATCGATTTTTTTGTTTTGTTATGTTGGTACACTCTTCCCTAACATCTGTACCAAGTTTCAATTGAATTCCCTTTTGAAGATGCCGGGAAGATGCCAATGACGAGCCTCCCTCTGGACGCCCAAGCACGTCAGCAACTGATGAAAATTTTCAAGCAGTGAGGAAAATTTTTTTGGAAAATCGTCGAATCACTATCAGAGAAGTTGCTGAAGATGTCGGTATGTCGCATGGCTCTTGCCATGAAATTTTTACAAACGTTTTGGGTATGAGTCGTGTGTCAGCGAAGTTTGTTCTGAAATTGCTGAATTTTAAACAAAAGAACCGCCGCATGAGCATCGCTCAAAAGCTGTTGAATGACGTCAACGACTACCCAGATTTACTTAAAAGGGTCATAACTGGTCAATAAACTCGGTCAATAAACAGTATTATCTGGAAGTTATGCGCCGTTTGCGAGAAGCAATACGAAAAAAAGTCCAGAATTGTGGAAAAAGAATTCATGGCTTTTGCATCACATCAATGCCCCTGCTCACTCATCTTTGCTTGGGAGAAATTTTTTGGCTAAAAACAACACCACAATAATGCCTTAGTCACTATATTTACCGGATTTGGCCCCATGTTACTTTTTATTGTTCCCAAAACTAGAGACACCTATGAATGGTCGGAGATTTGCAACGATTGAAGAGATAAAGACTGCATCGCTGGAAGAGCTCTAGGCTATACCGAAAATTGCTTATGGGAAGTGCTTTAAGAATAGGAAAAAACGTTGGCATATGGAAATTGTACCTGAGGGGGACTACTTTAAAGGGTCAATATAAATATTGACAAATAAATAAATAGTTTTTCTTGAAAATACAAAGTCACCTTACTTTTTAAACACTCCTCGGATACTGTTTCTGGTCGTTTCTAATTCTTAAAAAAACAGAGTTATGGCATTTCCGATCAATCAGTTATATGACAGCTATAGGATTTAGTCGGTCGATCCAGGTCGTTCCGATTGATATTCTGCGTACAAAGGAAAGAAGTGTATGTGCAAAGATTCAGGTCGATAGCTTTAAAACTGAGAGACTAGTTCGCGTCGAAAAAAACAGACAGACATGCCCATATCAACTCACGAGGTGATCCTGATCAGGAATATATAGACATTATACATACAGTCGGAGATGTCTTCTTCTCTGCGTTGCACACTTTTCACCAAATTATAATACCCTCTGCAAGAGTATAAAAACTTGGCTAACTCCGATTTTTCTGAATTTTGATTTGTAGATGTAAAGCAGTGGCGGATAAAACGCACACATGTTTAAAATTTGAGGGTATGCGTAGCAGCAAAAAACAATTAGAGCAAAGTATTCATTGAGCGAAAAAAAGTGTTTTTTTATTTAATTTTTCGTTTATTCAAAAGTTGGAATGGGCACTAAGAAAGTGTATTTTATTTTAAAGAAAGCTTTTATAGCAATAGTTCTTAAACAAATAAAAACTCCTCACATATATTTTCTATAGAGAACACATTTTCCAGCCCATTTTCTGAGAACATTTTTCTCAGTGAAAACATTTTGATTTTTAAGTTTGGGCTGTCAAATGAGGCAAAATATAAGCAAATGAGAAAGCTTCTAAATAGTTTGAGAGGGGTCACACTGACAGTGTGCCGGCAGCGCTGCGGCAGAATTTTCCACCCTATGCACGCGTGCTATGGAAAATGAGAGTTTGCCACCACTGATTTAGACTATTAAGCTATGAGCAGCTGTTTTAACATATTCTGGTTTTGAACAAGTGTTTGCATGGTCGTTTTCATGAATGACATTAGCTCCAACATACTTTGTTGGAGGGTAAGCATTAGACTTCTGCATGAATGTACTAATTTGTGGCATAACAGATCTGTACAGTAGTGTAATGTTTTTAAAAACACTGCACTCATTCTGTACTACTCGTATAGGTCAGAAGAAGATAGCACAACATTTTCAGTGTACTCACTTTGAGTGAGTACAGTATATGGTTGTACTCTTCGTGAGTGAGTACTAAATTTGTCCCTTTTTAAACACGCTGTACAGGTTGGGTGTTGACCGTGTATAACTGTGCAAATGAGTGCAGTATTTTTTCATAAGTGCATATTTGATCGTATATTCAGGATGAGCTTCAAATATATATCTCTATATATATCAAATTCTCATGTCACAGTTGTTGTTATTATACTCCCCCGAAACGCCTTTACCGATTTTCATGATATTTTGTGAGCGTATTGAGTAAGTCTGAAAATCCACCAACATCTATTTTTCTTCTTCTTAAATCCCGTTTGACATACCCAATATTGCATTTAAAGTGAGTTTCTACCTCATCACCAGGGCCGTAGCTAGCATGGGGCAGGTGGGGCGGTGCCCCAGGGCCCCGCCGGGGCCCCTTCTTATCGACCACTTTTTTAGTTCCGAAAAAGCCTAACCATGGCTTTCGGACTTTCTGAATGTGCTTTAAATGGATCACAAAAATCTAACAAAATAAAAAAATTATACTTTTTTGAAAATGGCAATGTCACAGATCGCCATCTGCAAAGCAACGCTTCAAACATGCCTCACGTCAACTTGATCAAGCTCTACAGCAAGAAAAAACGTATGTCCACCGCCGCTACATAGAGCAACTGTCAACTTACAGTACAAAACACTCACTATGGAGAGCTAACCCAACTCTGAGCTCACCGAAAGAAACCGTGATGCCTATTAGAAATTCCACAGGCGGGAGGGCGCGCAGCGACGTAGAAAGGGCCAGCACGTTTGCCAAACACCTTAAAAATGTCTTCCAACCAAATCCTGCTACCAATGCGTTTACTATGCCGACTCTATCAGATGAGCCCCAGCCTCAACATGAGCCGATTGAGTTTCGCCCAAACGAAATCGTTAACATCATCAAACGACAACTGAATCCGAAAAAATCCCCGGGCTGCGACCTCATAACTCCCAAAATGATCATTGAGCTCCCATACTGTGCCGTTTGCACTCTCACCCAGCTATTTAATGCCATCGCAAAACTTGGCCACTTTCCAGTGAGATGGAAAAAGTCAATTATAATAATGATAGCAAAGCCGGGAAAAGACCACACTATCCCCACGTCGTATAGACCTATAAGCCTACTCTCTTGCCTATCTAAACTCTTTGAAAAATGCCTAATGACTCGGATAAACACATACCTGAGAATCCAGGAAGGAATCCCGTCACACCAATTTGGGTTTCGTGAAAAGCATGGAACAATTGAGCAGGTCAACCGGATAACATCCGAAATTCGGAACGCGTTCGAAAAACGAGAGTACTGTACTGCCATATTTTTAGATGTCTCTCAAGCATTCGATAGAGTCTGGCTGGAAGGTCTAATGTACAAGATCAAGACAATGCTCCCCTACAGCACCCACAAGATTTTGGAGTCTTACCTTCACGACAGAAAATTTGTCGTGAGGTGCAATACCGCTATATCCGATGAGTACACTGTTGGAGCTGGAGTTCCTCAAGGCAGCGTGCTAGGGCCAAAACTGCCCGCCGATAACATTAAACAACACTCTACTCCCACAAGCAAACGAAGTAACATACCTAGGAGTACATCTCCACAGAAGACCCACATGGCGCTGGCACAATGAAGCCAAAAGAACACACCTAAAGCTAAAAGCCAGCGGCCTTCATTAGCTTATCAACGCTCGGTCACCTCTTAGCCTTGAATATAAAGTCCTGCTGTACAACTCGGTACTAAAACCTATATGGATGTACGGCTCCCAGTTATGGGGGAACGCCATCAATAGCAACATTGACATAGTTCAAAGAGTTCAGTCGAAGACCTTGAGAACAATCACCGGGGCACCGTGGTACGTTCGCAACGAAAACATACACAGCGACTTAAACATTCTACCAGTCAAAGAAGCGATCGCAGAACAGAAGGTAAAGTACTTAACCAAGCTATCGGTGCACCCTAATACCTGGCGAGAGGTCTTACAAGGTTGAGCAACCAATCACGCCTTCGTCGCAATGACTTACCCACCCAGCGACCGACCTGAGGGACGCGCAACCAGAATGCAGTCTTAGTATACTGTTAGTTGTTATATTGTTAGTCTCAAAATTAAGAGTAGATTCAATAAATAAAAAAAATAGATAAGATAAAAAAGTAGATAAAAATAAAAAAAAAAAAATTTTAATTTCGAAAAAGATTTTTCCGCCGTTGCAACTGTTTGCAAAGAGACGATGCAGACGTGGATGATAACCAATTAACGAATTTCCCGGAAATCTTTTTTGCTTCATTCTCTTTCTTTCGTTTTGCCTCTCTTTTTTTCGCTCCGCTGGGATAGATACGTTTCATCGCGCAAGTTGACAATTGTATAATTGTATGCAGAATTATATAATTGTCTGATTCTATTGTTTGTCAATAGCACCTCAAATGAGCAGCTGATTCGCGTCAATAGAGGTATCGAACAGTGTTCGGGACCACTATACGCGCGGGAAATTCAAACGTTCCACACATAGACAACCCTAAGCGTACTTTAAAATTTGACAAAAGACTTCCGTATAGGGGGCCCCAAATTCGAGGTTCTAGCTACGGCCCTGCTCATCCCACTGACAAAATCACATTACCATAGCATTTTTACTCAATTTAAACTGGGGAAAAAATCGTTCATCATTAAGTAAATACATTGAGTGTTTTGT